TGAAATTCATGATAATCGTTTTAAAATATCTATAAGTATTATGTAAGGATCTATAAATTTCTACAAATTTTATACTTACAATTAGTAGTCAGTTGACGTTAGAACAACAATATCTTATCAGTATGTAGGTCATACGTATCAATGACAGTGCGTCATCAAACTCTTGATGAAGCTAGTTGTAATGCTGACAAGGCGTTTGAATAGACATCCAAAAGGACACTGTTTGCAGTTAGAACCCTCAAAGAGCATTGACTGCAAACGCATTTCAGTCCCGTAGCCAGGCTCACAGATTAGAATATGCTTTGTGTAATTTAAATTATTCCCAAACACGAACAAATAAGAGGTTTAAACTTCATTTATTCATTAATTAACGTAAATTCTCGAGACCTTCCTCGAGTAGAGGTAACAGAAAACTCGCAGCATCTAAAATATGTTTAATTAACAAAGGGTCAAAATTTAAATTCAATTTCTATGAATATCAGCAAAGGAGATTTAAGCTGCCGAAGTTTAATTGAGATTTGAATAAAATAAAATATTTCAAAAGTTAGTTCGCAGTAATACGTCGTCCATCCGGAATACGAAGATTTCTACGAACAATCAGTTATCAGACTGTCATAAATGTCAAAAAATCCACGGGAACCGTTACGACGAATACGTTACACGGTCCACGTGATCTCCGGGATAAGCGGAATATGTCAAATCTGGATTATAACGATGCCTTTGGCGCTCCACTCTTTGCTACGGTGTCCGCGGATCTCACTTTATAAAGCAAATAACGAGTAACGTGGCATGCGTAGGGCAGTAATTACAGCGAAAAATCCCTTTCCGTTCTCACCCCAAAATTCGGCTGTTCTTGCAAAATTTTTATCGCTCCTCTTCCAAAGATAAAAAATTCGTGGTCAGTGAAACACGCTTCGTTACGATGAAAATGAGCTTAAAACAGTTGTAAATGTTCCATAAAATTCTAATATATCGATAAGTGAAAATTTTTGAAAATATTGGAATTATCAATAAGTAAATTAATTTTCAACTATATATAGCAATTTTGTCTATTTTTCGGACCAATTTAACGAACTACATATTTGGTAGTACACATCGTTTAATGTGATATCCAAATGTGAGTTATCAATAGTAACGTTCATATTTGTTCCCAACGTTTCGCTATCATTGCAACTGGCTTCATCAGGGATTAAAGACAGGCTGATACTGGTGTGTGCCTAGGAAGACTGTCTTTATATAGATATCTGGTTCATGTTACAGATCTGTACTCACCAGTAATTTTTAATTGGTTAAAATTAAGTCAATTAAAAATTACTGGTGAGTACAGATCTGGAACATGAACCAGATATCTATATAAAGACAGTCTTCCTAGGCACACACCAGTATCAGCCTGTCTTTAATCCCTGATGAAGCCAGTTGCAATGATGGCGAAATGTTGGGAACAAATTCCTATTGGACATAATTCCCATTGCTCTCACCCGAAAACCACTTATGAATGTAATATTCCAGGCCGTGAAAGCATTAAAGCTACTAATCAATGGTAACGTTAAATATTCCGCTTAAAACAACTGCATCGAAATAATACCGGGTAGAACGAGGTGAATCGGCTCATTCTCTGGTCGGCAGTATGAAAGTAAATATACTTGACAATTAATAATAAGAACAAATTTTCAAATCTTCCTCTCGCGAATAAGAAAGGAAAACTGAGAAATACAATGTGTAATATAACAAATGTGAAGTGAATTCCTATTTCGATCCAATTACCACGGTCTACTCTAATAAAACAAACTCGGTGCAACAATAATCGAAAACCTGAATCTAAAACATTCATGAAACATCACTACCAAAATCTCAATTGCAAAAGTATTCCCTCGCAAAAAAAAATTGCAGCCATGAATTCCAAAACAACAGAAATCAATCAATCAGCATTTCGAGAAAATCAATCTTTTCATTTTCGTTTATTCATTCATTACCTATTTTATTCTTGCTACAAACATTGGCTACGGATACATCTTCATTACATGTACGCGTCCAGCATTGTTAACACTAAAACTACCAAGGAATTAGAGAGACTGATTTCGATTTTTTTATAACAATTAGAACAATACGTTCCTTGATATTTGAAAGATCTCCTAGTCTTGTATCTTTACAAATACACAAATTCCATTTAAAATCTTTCGTAAAAATGCCTGCATAATTTAAATACCTGCAAAATGAAAATTCTGAAGTGGGCAATTTGATCCGTCGGGTAGATTTAGTATTAAACAGGTCTGGGTAAGCTAAAAACAATGAAATCAATAACTCGCACAGGAGTGTTAAAGGTCATACTCGCACTGTCTTGGAATTCGCGACTTCAATGTTCCTCTAACACAGAAACCGGACGTTTTTTCCTTGCGAGACATCGCGTAAATCAACGGAGTACAATCAAACGAGCAGGTTTCCCTTCGGAAGCCGCGAGACGAAGGAACGATTCCGAGTTTCCGTCACGATGGAATAAAGTAACGACGCTCGCCGGTGGAGGGAAGATGAATTTTCAGGGAAAACAGTTACTTGACATTCAGCGGCCGCCGTAGAAATTCCGGCTGGTCAGCGACCGGCGGCGACGAGCTTAGCTTCCCGGAAACAGCACTTGCACGCGGTGAAAAGGTTATTCATAGCTCGGCCTCGTCCACGGGAAAAGGTGGTCCGCTTCAATTCTCTTCGTCGTTTTGAGACCAGCCCCGCTTTTGCCCAGCGTGCCCCACAATGGAGAAGCTCTCCTGTGTCGCGGG